GCGAGAGAGGACATCGCGGGAGGAGAGGTTTTTTTGCAGGAGAGGAAGCATCCGTCCCCTCGTGTGTATATATTTCTTGCGTTCATTATTCGCTGACGGCGTGTGTAAGTAACATCTGCATGGTCTCCCATGATGCGTGCCCCCCCCCGCGGCCCACCGCCGCAGCCGCCATCATCTTATACTGGGCCCTCGATCGTTCAGCACACATCCTCCTATACAAGGTCCTAAAAATAGCTGAAACCGTTGAACTGAAAGAGACAGATAAACGCTTCGCTAGACGTTATGTTGTTATATGTCATGTTACACGCGTATATCGTGTCATCACTGGCGCCGAAGCATGTTGTTATATGTCATGTTACGGTTTGTCTATAGTCGTCATTGATATAGCGCGCGTAATAGCTCGTGTCGATCACTGCGGGCCGACAGCAATGGGTGCTTGATATGTCCATGTTACACGCGTATATCGTGTCATCACGGACGCCGATAGCATGTTGTTATATTCCATAGTTACACGCGTAATATTGTGTCAACTCAACTGGCGCCGACAAAGTGCTTTATATGGTCATGTCTACACGCGTAATATCGTGTCAGTCACTGCGCCGAAGCCCATGTTGTATACTGTATCGTTACACACACGTCATCCAAAGCCACATCACTGGCCGTCGAAGCATGTTGTGTATATTTGGTCATGTTGGTTACACGCGTATACGTGTCATAACTGGCGGCCGAAGCATGTGTTTACGTCCTATCGTAAAAACCACCAGCGATAACCACGGAACGCCAAGAAGCGACACGGGAAAAGAAAGAGAATCAACGAAGAGGGGTGGGGGGAAGAGAAAGAGGAGAATACGGAAGGAGTTTAAGCCAGCAGGAGCACACAGTTGGTCCAGGGTAGACCGGGGGACACAAACAGAGCGATAGAGGCCGCAGAGAGTACTAGGCGCACGGGACAACGAAACAAGCCGAGAGAAATGAGGCAGAGACCGGATGGCGACGCCAACGGACAACATGACATGAGCGTGGGAAAAACAGCAGGATTCGACACAGCAATGGTAGCACGGGAAAAGAGCAAGAAGAGGAGATGCAGCACAACAGGACGAGACAGAGCCCAAGGCGGGACAGGGGAGTGGAGCGAGAGCGATAGGAAAAGAGGGTGACGGCCGAGGCGTTGAATACAGGTGAGACTACGCGAAACGGAGGAGGGCAAGGCAGACA